AAGAGAGGCAGTATAAAGAGTAAATAGAAGGGGACCAAGGACAGAGCCTTGGGGGAATCCAACTGAGACAGGACAAAGGGAGGAGGTATCATTAGAAAAGGAAACACTGAATGATCATTGGGAGAGATAAGAGGAACACCACGAGAGAACAGAGTCACAGAGACCGAGTGATTGAAGAGTTTGAAGGAGAGCATGATCGGCAGTCTCAGTAGAGTGGAGAGGGCGGAAGCCAGATTGAAGATGGTCAAGGAGAGAGTTGGAATTGAGTAAGTGAGACATACAGGTAAAGACAAGTCTTTCCAGAAACTTGAGGAAAAAGGGAGCAGGGATATGGGACGATAGTTAGAAGTGGAAGTCAGGTAGGGAGATGTTTTATTTCAGGATAGGTACTACAGTGGCATGTTTAAGGTCAGCAGGGACAATGCCAGAAGAGAGAGAGCAGTGGAAGATGTGTGTTAAGGAAGGCACATGACAAGGGGAGAGAGATCTGATAAGATAAGATGAAACAGGATAGAGCGGGCAAGAGGAAAGGAGAAGCACAGCCACCTCTTGTTCAGTAGCTGGGGAGAAAGTGTGAAGGGTAGGAAAGGCATGATCTACGCGTGGATGAGAAAGAGAAAGGCAGGGTGGGGAGAATTCTTTCCTTAGATGTTCAATCTTGTCGGTAAAGTAACATGCAAAGCTATCGGCTGTAAGGTTAGTTTGGGGGATGGCAACAACAGGGCAAATAAGGAAGTTAAAGATATTAAAAAGATGCCTGGGATTGCGGGAGCATGAAGTAACGAGAGAGGAAAGGTATGACTGTTTGGCGAGGGCAAGGGCTGCGCTGTATGAACATAATATGAATCTATAATGGAGAAAGTCTGACTGGGTGCGAGACTTCATCCAGAAACGTTCAGCACAAAGGGAGAATCTTTGCAGGTAGTGTGTTGATTTAGTATGTGTTATTGTTCATCTGAGGTTGTATTTATCTAATTTTAAGACTACCTAAAGAACAGGTGATTGTTGTTATGTCCTGATATGTAAAACCATAGAATCCAAAGAGGGTGTACTTTCTTTTTCCTATACTGCTTGTAGGTTGGGGTGGGGAATTCTCTGAACACTGCACCTGGCCTAAAGCCTCCCCAGGAAGTGCAACAGTACCCCCCAATCTGTGTACATTGTTTGAAATCTTACTAATCCTCTTAAACCTAAATCTCACTTACCCTAAGCCCCATAACAGCCTTCCTAATTGTGTATACAGTCCTTTGAATATGTATCTCTGTATTTCTTATGCGCTATAAATGTCACCACAATGCCACAGTGGTCTTTTTAATGTATCTACATTGTTAGTGATGAGGACATTTTAATGTAAAGTTATCTTTAAATGTTTAAAGTGAATTCCGTTAACCAACATCTCTATATTTTTAAAAGAAGCTGTAAATATCCTGACTGTAATGACTTTGGCATGTGATGTGATTTTAATTTACAAACTACATTAAATGCCTTTAGGTTCTGGCAGTTGATTAAATTAGAAATTTGCAATTGAAATGCTGTCTGTAAAATCCCGATTTAAGAATTTATACTTACCGCATTATCAGTCAGAGTAACTGGGCTGTGCAGATCAAGTCTAAAGAAATGAGACATGTAAGAAGGATCAACCCATCGAGCTCAAATTAAAAGTTGCAAAGATGCCAGGAGAAGGATGAAAGCTGTGAAATTTAAACTCCATGAACAGGTCACAAACAAACTCCTATGTCTACGGACTGGGTGGCTCGGAACATATAAGGAAGATGTTCTTGACTTTTATTTTCCCCTGTTTGCTTATGTACCTTGTGGAATTGTGAATGCTTGCTTTTACTGGCATTATATTTTTGATGGGTCACAAGCAAACCCTTACAAAATACAGTTAAAAGGAACAACGCACACACAAAACAAAAAATACAGTTTTACACTTTACAAGGCTACTTTAAATCACCTATCTCAACAAACAATTATTGGGATTCAGTTCCACCATATGGCCATATTGTGTTAAGCCCATTACTACATCACAGTACTACAATATTGGTGGGTCCTATACCAATGTTAAGGGATACTCCAGGCACCCAGACCACTTCTGCCCATTGGAGTGGTCTGGGTGTCAACTCCTATAAGTGGAGCGCTCAAACACATATAAAGCTTACCAAACGTAACTTGGTTCAATAGTGCAATATGAAGTACATGCCAAAAAAAAAAAAAAGAAAAAATACAAAAAGATACAATATAGTGCAGATGGTATTTAAAATGACAATACAGGAATAATAATATCGTAGTGAACTGTACACTCACATTTCAAGGAGCCTGTATATAGAAAAACTGGCTCCGTATTGAAGCTTGTGTGCTTATTATGGTAGCACTACCCTTCCACTTCGGGTTGGAGTAGTTCTCATAAATAAAACATAAAAGGAGAACGAACAAATGTGTAGACTGTAGCAATAATAACACGGATGTAGAGTAATAAATGGCATGTTTTTGGCATGTACTTCATATTGCACTATTGAACCAAGTTACGTTTGGTAAGCTTTATATGTGTTTGAGCGCTCCACTTTTGGTGTCACTTATACCGCACTGTATTTTATATGATTGTTTAGTGGAAAAGGGGATATTTCCACACAAGTGTATAGAGCTGCCTGTAAATCACTCTTACTATTTAAGCACTTTGTTACACACATTCCTCCGTAAAAGGAGGTAATTTTGGATGGGTGTCAACTCCCACCACCCTTAACCCTGCAAGTGTAGTTATTGCAGTTTTTATAAACTGCAATAATTACCTTGCAGGGTTAAGTCTAATTTATGCGCGTGGCCATTGCATGATGACATCAGAGGAGTGTGGGCAGAGCCTGACCCAGTGCCGAGGGACATCAGCACTGGATTCAGGTAAGTCACTGAAGGGGTTTTAACCCCTTCAGCAACATGGGATGGGGGTTGGGAGGAAGAGGGGCACTGCAGAGTCCTGCAGTGACAGGAAAACGGATATGTTTTCCTGGCACTGGAGAGTCCCTTTAACATAGGAGATTTACATGCTAAATACTTACATACCCTTAGAAGTAATTATCTTAGCGTGATCAACTTCATAATACTAGAATCATCAGCCTTCACAAATTAACGTACTATACATATAAAACTATGCAATGCAGCATCAAAAGTCTTCTTTTTAAAAAACAGGAACTAAACAAAAAGATTATAAGACTGCATCTTTATATGTAGAAATTAGCTTCTGCAGGTGCACATTTTCAATATATATACACACACACACACACACACACACTTTGTAATATCAAGTCAATACAAATGGCTAGCCATAGATATAAAATTCAAATTGTTATACTACCACCAGATGGTAGCATTTAACTTTTTAATGATACAATAATTGACTGTAAATGAAAGGCATATTGCAGGGAAAGAACGGCTGATGTGCATAGACACAAATCTAGCAACCACACGAAAAAATTCCATAGTGAGAAATCCTACAATTAGGATCATATTGTACCAATGTTTGAATTTCATTTGTCAGCATTAATTCCTATTACTCCAGAAGAATCATGTTTTAACTTCCATCTTCTGGCATAATCTAGTATTTAGAAATGTAAAGATGCAGCAATGATGAAAGTATGTTTTATGTATTAAAGGAACACTATAGTCTTGAAGTGGCTGTTTAGGTGACTGAGCCCCCTTTAATCTCAGTGAAGATGCAATGTTACTCACTTTTTTTTAGCCACGCTGGAACAGTCTCGCTGCCGCTGGCCCTGCCTGGCTCTGCTTGGCTCTGCCTCCATGGCTCACACCATTAATCTTGATGATCTGAGCCAATGCTTTCCCATTTCTGACAATATAGTTTTAAATACACCGTTTAGGCCCCTGGCCTCCTCTTGCCCGCATACCCCTCCATTTAAAGGTGGAAAACTTTTTTTTTCCAAAGCTGCTACGTTCTTGCCACAAGAGTGCAAGCTGCAATCGTCTCCTCACAAACATCAGAATGTCACAAGTAAAGAATTTATGCTTATTTGTCAGGCACTGAAACTAGACTAAAAGTTCAAAGCATAACATGAAAGTAAAAACAGACTGGACATCCGGTCATCTGTAGCTTGAGCCTTGGGTCAAAGTTCCTTCTATCACAATTCCCCTCTTTTTGACCCCAAGGCTCACCCAGGTGTCTGAGGTATGTCCAGGTATGCTAGTCATACCTGCGGGTCTTCTTTATGCTTTCACCACGGTTCTCTCAGACAGGGCAAGCCAGGGGTCACAGGAGGAATGTTCCTTCATCAGTTTACATGGAAAAGACCAACATAGTTCAGCAGCTGTCACATTCATTGTCTTCAGGGCCTTGCCTACCAGTGGGTTGAAAGCATAAAAATGTAGTTGTAGAGTTTTAGGGGGTCTATGGGTCAGATGAGGGGTAGGTACAGCTATAAGACAAGATTGTATGGCATTTTCAGTACTGAGGAGAGGGTTGAGGCAAAAGGAGGTTAACTTAAAAGCCTTTGCTATGTGCATCCATATATTTCCCTGTCCTGCATTATTATCTTCTGGTCTCAAGTCAGAGTAGCATATCTGAACAGAGCATACAATGGTAAAGGCTAAAAACAGTTTCATGTCAGTGGATCAGTTGGAGTGACTTGTTTACAGTGACTGGTGTGTGTCCACATGGTTTTTCCTTCTAGTTTCATCGAGGTGGCTGTGGTTTGCAACACTTGGAAGGGACCATCAAATCTTGGCTCAAGCTCTTTTCTCACGTGTCTTTTTATCACTACCCAATCTCCAGGATGTAGTTTATGAGTGGTAGAACTGGAGTCTGGATCTGGAATAGAGTCAAAGGCACTTGTTTATGCACCTTCCCTAACTTCTTATGGATAGCATGTTACAATGTTGTAATTGGAGTGTCTATCTGCAGTCTCTGAAACAGGTAAAGTGGCTTTGGGATATGTTTACCTGGTGTTTTGACAGCCTGTCCGGGGTTATTCCTAGCACAAATCATGCAAGCTCGGGTATGCTTAGCTGCTACAACAGTAAACCCAGGTGCCACCCAGTGGGTATTCACTATACAGTTCATGTTCATCTTGGATAAATGTGTGGGTCCCTGGGCTACTTCAGCCATCATAGGGTACAATACTCATGGCAAACACAGTCTTTTACCTTTTCTCTACATCTTGTCATCATCAGGTTCTGCATCTTGATTCCTCCATAGATCTTGTTCTTTGCTTGCTTGTTTCTGCAGGCTCAACAATATATTGTAGTCAACAGTCTTTTCTGGAAGGACAACCTGCAGGAAGGTATTACCTGTAGAAGGATGAAGTTGGATTGCTGCTTGCTTGGCAGCTTCATCTGCTTTGTGGTTTCCTCTTGTGATTTCATCTGTGATCTTCACGTGAGCTGCCACCTTGATGATGCCTACTTGAGCAGGTAGCCGGATAGCGAGCATAAGTGCACTCTTGGATTCAGAGTTCTTGATTGGAGTTTCTGCTGAGGTGAGAAAATCACGAGCCCGCCACATAAGCCCAAAATCATGGGCTACACCGAAGGCATAGCGAGAGTCTGAGTAAATATTAGCTGTCTTACCAGAGGCCAGTTTGCACGCTTCAGTGAGTGCCTTCAGCCCAGCCTCCTGTGTAGAGCATTGATGGGTGAGTGGATCAGCTTTCAGCTTTAATTACCTCATGTGCAGAGACTACAGCATGTCCAGTGTGGAAATTGCCCTTCGCATCAGCATATTTGGAGCCATCTACAAAAAATCAAAGTCTTGATTAGACAATGCAGACTCAATTACATGTGAAAAACCTACTGTCTCTTGTGCCATTAATGCATTGGTATGTAGCCTGAATAGTGGACGGGGATTGAACTGGAGCTAAAGGAGCTTTTTACACATCTGGCAACTGTTGAATTAAAGCTAGTTGTTCACTTGGTGTCCATGGCTTATACTCTTCCCACCCTTTTGGACCTGCTTGAACTCCAGTAGTCTACTTTCATTAAAAGCTCTCTGCCTCTTTTTCTTTTTATCTTTTTTCTTGTGTGTCTTACTTCGGGTGGTTATACTATCCCATCCCGTTACTCCTTCCTCTCCCCCTCCCTCCTTCTCTGACTCTTCGTCCTCTTCAGGGTTCTCCATAGGACACTTGAAAATGACAGGAAATAGATTTTGAACTTCCTTCGTGCCTTCTTCAGTGGGTCCAGACTGCATTAAATGGTCCATGGGAGGGCAGGGGCACCCACAGCTCCTACATTTTTCTTCCCACCATGGGTTTGTCCATTCACAAAATGGACAGATCAGGTATGCTTTTTGGGTAATAGGATTTACAGTGGATGCAGGGACTTGAGATCTCATTTTCTCTTTAGGGACTGATGTATGCATCGATTCTTCCTTACCCAGGTAAGGGGGTCGATTTTCATGTTCCCTTCTTGGATCCTTTTTGTTGCAGGACCCTAAGGAGCCAAATCATTGGTAATAGGGTATTCCTTTCCTAGTAGTTTCTCTACAACCACATTTAGTTAATGCAACTGCAGTATCATGCCATTTCTGAGCAACTTTTACTAAATCATTATCTTCTAACCATCCTCTATAATTTGCCATACATTTCTTCCATATCTGTGGGTCAAGCGTGCCCTCTGAGGGCATGCCAGCTTTCATAAGTAATTTCTTTTCTTACTTTAGTAGCTCCTTGTACTTTATGATATTTGACTATAGTCAGAGTTGTAAATTCCTCCTGGGTACTTTGTGATTTACCCATCTCTAACACCTGTAAGGGGTAATTACATCCTTAACCAAGACAAGACTATACAGACAGTGTTTAAACACTTAGGACCACTGCAGTGGAATTTTCAAAGTCTTTGTCTTCTTTATTTAAACACAGATCAGAGATCTGCCTTGGAGGATTCTGACTAACTATACACCTATAAAACAAATGACAAGGCAGACAAACTTGAGCCCCACATATATATTCTACTATCTCAAGACTCCAAGATTTCTTTCACAAGACATTTCATCTGAACATAGTATGTCCCTTTAAATGGGTTCTTGGGAAATTACAATGTTTAAGTTGAAAACTTACCCGGACACAGAATAAGCACTGCTTCGAGAGTGAAGGTAATAGGTAGAAAAATAAACACATTTCTTAACTTGCTGCAGCACTCATTCACAGTCAGAGAGGCACAGATTCTCCAGTTCCGGATCAGTGAACCGTCATTCCCGGGTTTCGGCACCAATTGATAAAGAGTAACCCACGAGATATGTTAAGGGGAAACCAAATTTGACTTCGAGCTGCTCGGTGAAGCAATCTAATCAGAAACACCAGACAATTTGTGATTCAAAGATTACTTCCTCTTTATTGGGAGAGCTTACAAGATTACATAGTACTTTGTGACTTGCGCGACAAAAACAGGATGCTTGAAGGCACTTTGTACCATAAAAGACATTTACAGAACTAAGCATATTTGAATGGTTATATATATATATATATATATATATATATATATATAAAAACATTAGGCCATAAATTAGGACATAAGGCTGAGGTTGAAGCTGCAATCGTCTCCTCAGAAACCACATAATGTCACAAGTAAATAATTTTTGCTTACTTGTCAGACACTGAAACTAGACTAAAGGTTCAAATCATAACATAACAGTAAAAACAGACTGGACATCCGGTCATCTGTAGCTTGAGCCTTGGGTCAAGGTGCCTTCCATCACAAGTGCCAATGACAAAGTGCCAAAAATATAAATACCATATAAATATAAAATGGAAAAAAGTGTGCACAGAGTGATGCACTTACTGGATAAATGTCATAAATCCAGAAAGTATGCAAAAAAACTGAAATACAAAATAGTGTAACACTCTATATACAATAAAAATATAGAATAAGTTATGATACAACTCACAAAAGCAGATCAGTGAAGCTTGCTCTAAATTAGTAGGCTCCAATAAATCAATGTAGGCAGCTGGGTCTGTAGACAGGATTTATTCAAACGGGGAATAGACCTTGATATTGCCAAATGCAATCCTTCCACTCAGCACAAATAACAGAGACTTCTCCTCAGTGCTCCGATACCACTGTATTCACTTCCGGGAGGCGTATTTTCAGTCCCTCTGATGTTGTACATATTGACGTAATGACCTATAGCGTGATGATGTGTTTTGTCATGAAGACGGCTTTATCAGATCTGCCAGTCTACCGCTGCCTATTCCTTTTAAGTCCACAAATGTGGGCATTTGTAATTTGTATTAATTAAGTCTTCTAAGGCAATTAGATGTCCATAATTGGGATAGCATTAGTAAGTAGGTTAGTTGGTTGGCTAGAGGTAGCATTAGTATGTAGGTAAGTTGGTTGGCTAGATATAGCATTAGTAAGTAGGCGAGTTGGTTGGCTAGGGATAGCATTAGTAAGTAGGTAAGTTGGCTGGCTAGAAGTAGCATTAGTAAGTAGGTAAGTTGGTTGGCTAGAGGTAGCATTAGTATGTAGGTAAGTTGGTTGGCTATGTATAGCATTAGTAAGTAGGTGAGTTGGTTGGCTGGAGATAGCATTAGTAAGTAGGTAAGTTGGTTGGTTAGAGGTAGCATTAGTAAGTAGGTGAGTTGGTTGGTTAGAGGTAGCATTAGTAAGTAGGTAAGTTGGTTGGTTAGAGGTAGCATTAGTAAGTAGGTGAGTTGGTTGGCTAGAGGTAGCATTAGTAATTAGGTGAGTTGGTTGGCTAGAGATAGCACTAGTAAGTAGGTAAGTTGGTTGGCTAAAGATAGAATTAGTATGCAGGTACAGTGGCTGGCTACAGATAGCACTAACGAAGCAGATAATTTGGCTGTTTAGAGATAGCATTAACAAGTAGGTATATTTGCTGGCAAGAGATAGAATTAAAGGACCACTCTAGGCAACCAGACCACTTCAGCTTAATGAAGTGGTCTGGGTGCCAGGTCCAGCTAGGCTTAACTCATTATTTTATAAACATAGCAGTTTCAGAGAAGGCGCTTGCGTGCTTCTCACTGTGAAAATCACAGTGAGAGCACGCAAGCGTCCATAGGAAAGCATTGATAATGCTTTCCTATGTGACCGGCTGAATGCGCGCGCAGCTCTTGCCGCGCGTGCGCATTCAGCCGCATGGGAGGATAAGAGGAGGATCGGAGGAGGAGAGCTCCCCACCCAGCGCTGGAAAAAGGTAAGTTTTTACCCCTTTCCCCTTTCCAGAGCCGGGCGGGAGGGGGACCCTGAGGGTGGGGGCACCCTCAGGGCACTATAGTGCCAGGAAAACGAGTATGTTTTCCTGGCACTATAGTGGTCCTTTAAGAGTAGATAGGTTGACTGGCTATGGATAGTATTGATATGTAGGTATGCTAGCTCTCAGGCACAGTGGGAATTCAGCATAAAAAAAACATTTCCTTTTTTCTGCATAGTGGAATGGTTAAATGCTGAGAGCTGCTTAGTAAATTACAGGCTCCAATTGGCAGCTGATGTCTCATGCTCTCTGCAGTGTTTTCCATTACTTGCTGTCATTGAGGCAATGATAATTGTGTTGTAACTCCAAGACAAAGACCTGCGGAGTGATGGATAAAACAAGTTATGTTATAAAAAAAATAGTGACAGGGTCACTTTAAATAACCATATGTTCAAAATGGCTGACCACATTACTAAACATTTCTGAATATCCTGAATGCCCCATTAATGCATTGTTTGAGATATGCAGCCCAGAAACAATACATAGCCTCATTCACTTGCAAGTTGCTAACTCTTATCTTGGTACTGAATCTCTCACAACTCTTATGGCAATGATGCCTCATTACACTTGCTCCATTTGTTTCATGTCTGTTTGGTTTTCCACATACAGATTACATATAAGCATATGTGTATAATGTATAAATCTGTATATTTCTGGCATTGCAGAAATCACATAATGATGATGTCTAATGCTGTAGTGTGAGGAGTATTATGGGCTCAGGAATTCTACTATTTTACAAAGTAAATATGTTTTCAAGTGACTGGTATCTCAAGTGACTGGAATCTCTGTAGCTATTTGTCCTTAGATTGTTTCATCTGTCTTTTGTTAATATGATTTGGTTTGATATTGCAACTATACATCTATATTTTAAAAAGGCTTAACTTGATGGACATAAGTCTCTTTCCAGCTTATGTCACTCTGTAACTTTTCAGTTTAACCCCTTAAGGACCAAACTTTTGAAATAAAAGGGAATCATGACATGTCACACATGTCATGTTTCCTTAAGGGGTTAAACTACAGGGACACTCCA